TGTGCTGGATATTCAAAGTCCATTTGTCCGGAATTCCATGCAAATTACAGAGTCAATTTACTAACTTGATGCCATTTTTTCTATGACATCGACAGTTTATCTTGAAGTATGTAGTCACGTTTTGAAAAATCTAGCCGTTCAAATTTAAGTCCTTTTTTTGCGTCAAATTTGCAGCAATACATTTCAAAAATGTTCTTGAAGGTAATCAGTAATTGCATTCGAGAACCGAAATTGGCACATTCCTATAGCAAAAACGTAGTTACCGATTTTATATAGTTTTACTATGAGCGTCTTCAAGACCCTATTAATACTTCGCAAGTGTATTCATAACGTTGACCGCACTGTTTCCATTCCCAGCTGCGTCGGTTTGTTTATATCACGCCAAAGCCGTCTGGGTGGATAAAGTAGATCTAGACAGCCCCAAATGTTGGATTAGGAAGAAGTAAACAAGGACGTGTCTTAAAGCATTATCCACGAACAAAATATGTAACAGGGCCTTACTTGAAATTCCTTCGGAACGAATAGAGAGTACCTACTTTTTCTGATTTCTTTTTTAATATAAATTTGCAATTTCAAACATAGTTGTTTCAGAAAAGGCAAGTTCCAAATTTCAGGAGACATTAGTATAATTTAAGCATAAGTATTGTTTTGCTCCCTCCTATCTATGTGGTATGAGAAACAATACATTCTGAGCAGATGTTTATTCATGGCGCGGCACCGTTGCCTGTTCATCTCCTGATAAGGCCATATCTTCGATTCCGCAGCGCCCCAACACAATATGAAACACCACCGACCTCAAAACGTTCATTCTCTTCCGACTAAAAAGCACCAGGATTAAAACTGACACTAATCTCGTACCCAAAAAAGCCCATGAATACATAGGGGCTTACAAAAATAAATATCGAACAATGGAAGACTACTTGCACGTTGCCGACCCAACAATGAAATGAGACACGCTCAATAGACATCGCTAATCCGGCCTGAAAACATCCAACACTTCGCCAGAAAACAAAATCCGATGCCCTACAGGGCGTTCTGTCGAGCGCGAAACACATAATTCGCATGGACAGCGATGGGATTTCTTGTTAGAGATGCGCCAAATGGTTCCTTTCCGTGATTCCACCGTAACGCAGCTTGATGTTTTCAACTTTCGCAGTGGTCGATTCTGGTAATAGCTGGCACTTTGTGATGTCTTATTTCGATATCATGGTTTCATTTACCTGCTAAAAGCTGATTCCTTTGTGTTGTTCAGCATTCCTATTGTGCTTCCGATTCCAGCAAATAGGAAGATACGATATTTCTGTTCTACTCTTGTAACTCACAGCCTTTGCTATAGATGTGTCAAATGGTTCTTTTTTCTGATTCGATTTTATAGTTTCGATTTTCTTCTAGAAACCGACATCTTCGTTTTGTTTATAATTCTGATCGTTATTCCGATTCTCGCAAGTGGGAAGATACGATATTTCTGTTATACTGTAATTCGCATGGACATCGATGGGATTCTTTGCTCGAGATGTGCCAAACGGTTTCTTTTTCTAATTCGATTACATGGTCTGGATTTCCATCTAATTGTTCGTTTTGTTCAGCATTCCTATTGTGATTCCGATTTCAGCAAGTGGGAAGGTACGATATTTCTGTTCTACCTGCGTAATTCGAATGGCCAGCGATGGAGGACTTTGCTATAGATGTGTCAAATGGTTCTTTTTTCTGGTTCGATTTTATGGTTTCGATTTTCTTCTAGGAACCGACATATTCGTTTGGTTCACAATTCTGATTGTGATTCCGATTCTGGCAAGTATTAAAATCCAATTTTTCTCTTCTAAATTCATAATACGCGTGGAATAGGTCCTTGCTGTAGATGTGTCAAATGGTTCTTTCTTCTGATGTGATTGCATGGTTTCGATTTTCTTCTAGGAACCGACATCTTCATATTGCTCATAATTTTGATTGTGATTCCGATTCTCGTAAATGGTAAGATATGATATTTCTGTTCTACTTTCGTAGTTCGCATGGACAGCAATGGGTGTCTTTGTTTTCTGTAATTCCACTTCATGGTTTCGATTACCTTCTAGGAACCGATTCCTTAGGTTTTTTCACCATTCCTATTGTGATTCTGATTCTGGTCGGATAATACAATATTTCTGTTCTACATTCATAAAATTCGCGTGAACAGAGATGGAGGTCTTTGCTAGAGATGTGTCTTGTGTTCTTTTCCTGATTCGATTTTCTTCTAGAAACCGACATCTTCTTTGTGTAGCACAATTCTGATTGTGTTTCCGGTTATCGCAAGTGGGAAGATACGATATTTCTGCTTTACTTCCTTAATTCGCATCGACAGCGATGGAAGTCTTTGCTAGAGATATGCCAAATGGTTTCTTTTTGTGATTCAATTTCACGGCTTCGATTTTCTGGGAATCATTCCTTTTTCTGATTCGATTTCATTCTTTCGATTTCATTCTAGGAACCGCTGCCTCCGACTTGTTCCCCAATTTCCCCCGCTAACTGGAAAATACGAATCTCTACTTTTGTTTCCATTTTGAAGAACTCAACGTAGAACGTCTATAGTTATAGAGATTTTCGATTAATTGTTAATTATTGTTCACGATTATAAAAGCATTGTTGGATAAAAAAAAACAATGCAGTGACCGTTCTTTGACGATTTTCTAACATGTTATTTACAGATGTCTACAGCAGTATCGTTGCTTTGTAATGACCCGTTCGGTACCTACCCAGCTCTAGATGGGATATCTTCCCTTCGTCGATGGGGTTTAGATCGGGCGGATGAGCAGACCGATGAACAGATGATAGCCGTGCATGAAGTTTGCATGAATGTAGGTTCAATGTACCGGCACTAATTTCAGACAACTTGCATTAGCGTCAGCATTGGGCTGGTTTGAACGTACCCATCGTTGCATAATTTTGATGAAATCATCTTTGAATTCTGATATCTGCATTGGAAACAGTTATTTTTTATATACTTGGGCAATAACGAAGGTAAAAAGAAAATGCCAGAGAAGCCGGAGTGCCATGATAAAATTAAGGAGAGCTGGATGACACAAAGTCTTTTTCTAATTAAACTTGCTGCTTACGTCCGTCCGACCAAAGAGAACCAACTATGGGCAGCTGTTTCGTGTTTTTGGCAGCTCATCAGCGTGGTCTAGGCTTGATCTTTGAGGCAACGAATCAAAGCATAGCAACTAACATCTATCCAAGGTGTGAGATCTATCGATATATGCTAACTCAAATCGCCATCTATTACCAGAATCGATCACTGCGAGAGTATATAGCATCTGTCGGTTGGAACTATAAAGATCTTAGTTCAGATACCATGCCTAGACAATGCTGATGAGTAGCAAAGAAGCACAAAGCTACTGTCCATGGTCGGACTGACGAACGCAGCATGCCTTGTTGTTCAATGACGAGTAGGCCACATCTACTATACCGCCCAGATCATCAGCTTCTAGTGGACACAGTGGTGAGTGGGCTATCAAACGCGAACTGCGATCTTCAGAGTTCCAACTGATAGCTGCTATGCACTTTCGCAGTGGTCGATTCTGGTAATAGATGGCGCTTTTCGATGTCTTATTTCGATGAAGTTTGAATTGTCCAACATAAGCAGATCAGGGAATAGCTCAATCTAGTGGCGTCGTGTCAATCTATTGTAGCAGATTTGACCCATGTTTCTAGTAGGCCACAAATCTTTCTCCTCGATTGGTGGAATCTGCGTCCGGATACTAATGAAAAATAGGTATTTGTTGATGAATGTGATATATGTGTGATATATGAAGTATTTCCTGATTCAATATAAGAGTTAGGAGCTCATCTTACACAAATAGTAAAATTTATCTCTAGTTTGAGTGACATATTACAAGAAATCGACCAAATTCATTAGATCTATTACTTTTGAATCATCAGCAACTTAGAACGATCTGACAGCGACAATAATTTCCCAAAGGTTACCGACACACCAACCAGTTTCTGCGGTCCCCCCTCAGCATTTCTTCTCTTGCATTCTTTTGCTGAAGCGATGATATTAGATCTCAGTTATATTTAGACAACTTCCTATCATATGTTATTACCTTCCATTCCATCTATGGGCACTTGTTCCCAGGATAAGCTTTCAGAGGGGTCATGTACATAGACAGGTATAACGGTCGCCTCTAAGATCAAATAGTACGCGTTATGAACCTCACTACAGTGCTGCTGTGCTATTGATTGTAGTGTTTGGTTACCTGGAAGTTGATCAATCACTCAGTATTTTCAGGCAGCAGCGGTGACCGCAGTAGTAGACTCTTCGGTCTCCTGATCAGTCGCCGTGCGCTGTCGAACGCGGAGGTACCACCCGGCGGATCTCGTAGGCGGAGCCAGAATGTGTGCATGTTGCATGCACACGTGTTCCCTCGCCAGAGTCCGTGTGGCGTTCCCCCTTTCCCATGTATCCCCCTATAGCCCCACGGTACCCAATGGGTGCTTAGGCCTTAGGCCTTCGTGGTAGTTGGAGTATAAAAAAAAATTCCTTTATTCTACTGTACTGCATGGATTTCTATCTATAATACTTTTATATTCATGGTAATTAATGTCGTAAGCCATATTTATAAAGATGGTTTCATTATATATCTACCTATATCTCTATCATTGGAGCTCAATAATTGCCGATAATGGTGGGCAAATTAACTGGCTCATACAGGTGTGACGCCTCCCATTTCTGGGGGTTGTTATGAGACTTTCGGAGCCGGGTTGTTGGTTTCAGGAGGTTATGTTCTTTGCTAGTGATGATGATGATTTTCTTGAAATGCTGTTAGCAGTCAGGTGTACACGCGGCTTTACTCTGCTGGGCGTTACTGTCGAAAACCTACTTTTAACTAGCAAAACGGACCGCGTGGGGAATCCCAGAGGTGTTTATTTGTATTTTTTCCTGTCATAACCTGCAAGCATCGCAAGCTTATGACAGTATTAGAAATTAGAATTATTTACGCTTGTTGAACGGTTGAAATTCTGGAATGCCTGCGTCTAGCGCGGCTACCGAAAGAAGTTTCAGTATATATGGTTTCATACATTCTTCAAGAAGAAACCGACTGACAGCTGAGGGAGCCGGTAAAGTTACTTTCATAGCTCCTAATCTAAAACTATTGGACCAGGATCAGGTATCAGCGACGTCCACGCGGTCCAAATATGAAGAAGAGGTGTACTTTGCACTGCCAGCCGAAGGAGGGTCTTGAAAAAATAGAGGCAGTGAGAATGGTATTGGTGATGAGTCGGAGGCGTCAGAGAATGAAAACAGTGAACTGGACATGTTTCTGTCTCAGATTCATTCTCTTAGCTTAATTTTCTTTAAATCGGTTCAAGTTTTTTTTTGTTCTTTTGTGAAAACGATAATATGTTTATTATTTATCTCCGAAGATGGAACATAAGTTATTCTATTTTGTTTTTGTTAATATTCAATAAAATCTAGGATTTTATATTGGTTTTAATACTTTTGGTATGTCTTTCTCAGAAAATTCTCATTGCTGAGAATATTCCCGAGAATATTTTCAATTTTTTTGTTCTCGAGAATTTTTCATCACTATTCTTTGCTTCTCGGTTTCCTCTATCAGGGGAAAGGGGAGCGTTTTTAATGTTGATACGACAGCTTTTGGCTGACGGACATCCGGGTCTGTCTGGCCCCACTTGGAAATCGCTGGAGTCTGCAAGTATCTCATGGCAAGATGTGCATGAGGATTGTTACTTTAAGGTTGTCATGTTTCTCGGTTATCTCTGAATCATAGGTAACTTCGGAGCCTTTGGACATTGACACGGCAGCGTGATAGGCTGGTTTCTGGACTGCTAATCGTAACAATCGTTAAACTCAGTATATCTATCTATACACCTGGGTATCACCATAGGCCGTTGTCTGCTTAAATACTATGTTGAACATTTAGGCTGCTGTGAGCTTAAATCCTAAGAAGACGCCTGTCTGCCCTAACATAATCCTAAGGTAGCTGTGCTTGTTATTTATTAATCGGTTGGATACGGGAGGTACTCAAATCATTTTTCTAAAAGTAGTTGTTGGCCCAGACAATCCGGTCATATCGCCCTTATCGCTTACCAAAGGAGGATGACTCATTGTCTTTCCACCACGAAGTAAGTGGCTTAAATACTATCCTGACATTGTTGCCCATATCGAATGGTTTACACACTGCCGTTGTAATAAAATAAAATAGTACATCGTGGTACTTGTTAGGATGAGTTCGTTCTTTTTTTTTGACGTTTATCGTTTAATCATCATCTTACATTCATTCGCCCCCTTTCTTTCTTCACCAGTAAGTAGCATTCGGTACGTACGAAAAATAGAAAACAGCAATTTCCTCGCAAAAGCGAGAATTCCATCATCATCGTTACACCAACCATACTATCAGCCGTGCGCGATCTTCTTTCACAGAAAATGGGACTGTAGAGACAATGGAGCCCTTTGTGCAGGTAAATACCCTCGCCGCACATCGCACACAAACGTATTGTCACTTCAGAAAAAGACCGTATGACAATATATTATATCAACCATTGAATTGGTCCTAGCACAGTTTTATTTCATATTCTATTCATACGCCCTGACAATAGGTATGCCGATGTACCGGGGTGAATGTATAGGAACGTACAAGATAGGGTATATATAGAATCAAGTTATTTTATGGAGTTTTACATTTTATTCGTAAGAGGGAGTGGAAAGAGAGAAAGACATACTCGCCATCTATGGGATTCGAACCTTGAACCACCCGAATTCTAGGCGAACGGTGCCAAGTGTACCAACGACGTTAGGTGGAGTACTATGATGTCATTCAATTCTTCTTCCATCCTTTCTGGTCGATGCGCGGATGAAACCTACGAATTGTTTTCTTATTTTTAATATTCTCAAATAGATAAAATGAACAAGTTTATTTTTTAAACTACGCCTGTTGACGAAAAGATTCTGATACTTTGACTGACATGGCATCATTTTGTCGACATACTGAGATTCTTAGGATCACATGATTATCTGTGTTTTTACACATGTGTACACAGTATTTAGGCTCTAGTATCAGGTTCCCACTTATTTTGGAGTGAGTCGAGGGAGCCATTGTACGATTTGCTCTGATCCAAAATTTAGTAGTCACGATGCAAGTCGAATGGGCTTAAGCTGTCAGTTTATCAGAAGTTGACATTTTGCATTAAATTCATATTTTTTGCGGTTTCGTCACTCGGGCTGCTAGACAACCAGGTGGTTCTATCTCTTTCTAACATACGTATTGCATGCTTCTCGTGCTTCTATCTCGTACACATTACAACGTCAATGGTATATGGATTTTTCTGTAGGTCTATACGATTGTCGAAAATGGTGAAGGTTTTTGTGGTTTCCAAAAAGCAAGAGCATATCTTGCAGATTGGGCTTTACCCGAATAGCTGTGAGGTAATTTCGATTTGTATCATTCCACTTCTCATTCCGTACAGTGTTCACGCCCAATCTAAAGCTTATTAAGAAAATTCTATACCTAACACCACAATTTTTGATGAGTACTGAAAACAACCAACCGAAACATTAGCCTCGAACCTCAAAACTACTCATTTGGACCAGTCATTGATTAACATTTAAAAAATGCAATAATGGTATATCGCGTAGAAAATGTTTTTTATGCATTCACTACATGTTTTCAAAATATAATTAAAATTACAGGCGAAGAACAATGGTGTCGTACTTAGGTAAAAGACAGTAAAGTGTAAAAACCGAATCAGAAAATTGAGTTTATAGTTCTGGATTTTTTCTAAATAAGTAGTATTATTACGCTACAAGTGAATGGATATTGCAAAGTTACATGATTTTATATACAGTCATTTGAATATGATTTTGGATCGTGATTGTTGTCGAGGCCCAAAATAAACAAAATTCCGTCTAATTATACGTACGTTATAGGTACATCGGACTTTTATCATTTAAATTTACCATTATTACCAGGATCAGAAGCTTCTTAATGATAGACTGCATTTGTTTCATACTAAGGACGTTACATTTACAACCCCCTACAACTCCCAAGTTTCAACCCGGAAAAAAAATTTCTGAAAATGATCAGGAAGACCTGAAACATCAAAAACAAATTATAGAGGATTTTCATTTTTTTGTGTTTTTGCTCCCAGCTCCACTACCATTAGACCGATTTTCAAAAACAACAAAAATGTTTTATCCTTGGCTTAGTAGTAACCTTGTCTAAAAATTCCGAGTGGTACTTCTCATGTTATACGCAGTCATAAGATTAGAACACAGGCCGATGGAAATGAGTGACATGTTTTTTTTGTGATGTTGTACATGCCATATCACATCTAAAAAAAATAGTATCTCATTTTCGATAACTTTCGCAATTACAATATTTTCCCGCCGGTATGTGTGGGAAGTAAAAACTGAATAAGTAACATCATGATAGGTTATAAAGGGTAAAAAAGTACTGTATCATACAGAGATTAAAAGCAGTATACTTAGAAAACTACTTTTTTTACTGTGCTAAATTGATTTACTGCTTTCATGCTTATGAAATGTAATTAATATGAAATGACAAAGTGAAATTTATTTGTTAAACAGCGTGATCAATGATACATTTTGTAATTGCAATCACAAAAGAAATCTTTGTCAAATTTTAAAAAAGCAGGAAATGAACTTTCCTGCCTGCTTCCTAAGTACGGCAGTATTAATTGTTCTTGGACAATATCTGACAACATCGCCTCATTCATTTGCCTTGCATCCTCTTATTGGTCGTCAAAGAATACTTGATTGTAGCCCCGTTTACCTTCCCTTCCGGACAATCTTTTTGACGTACCCCGGTAGAAACCTCATCGTCCCAGCAGTTCTATTCACGAAATTCCAACAATGCCTCAGCGAAAATATACACGCGTTGCTAATGCCGAAAAGACCAAAAAGGCATTGTGTGTCCCATTGTGGGCGGCGTTTTGTGCCCTAGAGAAGGAAGTACCGAATGCCTCCGCCGGTTTTCCTGAAATTTCCGATCGACGACAATGCCAGAGGTGTGCGCAGGTACTGTTTGGGTAATTATGTGGGTACAATGCGCCTTTCTTGCAGGCTGAATGGGGGTAACAACACACCGGGGGTGGTACGTTGCCAAAAGCGAGATGAGGTTTGACAGTCACCGGTCGATTGACATGTCGAAGTACGTGCTAGAAGCAAGAGGAAACATCTGATTTTGAATGGTAGAAGAATGGATTAAATAAGGTTCATATTCAGTTAGGCACGGATCCAAAATCACGTCTTAGGGAGGGGGGGGGGGGTCAAGAAGTGTGGGCAAGAGGAAATATCGGATTTTGAATGGCAAAAGAATGGATTAATTAGGGTTCATATTCAGAATCATCATCCAGAATCACGTGTTGGGGAGGGGAGGGGGTTAAGGGGGCAAGTAGTGTGGGTTGCCTGCCTTCAGGGGGTATTGTCAATTCGTTTGCGTTTATCATAAGGTAATTAAGAAGGAAATAATAAGGAACAGAATGCACATTTATTTTAAGATTTTAAACAAAAACAATGTAGTCTCTCCTACTTTCCATTTCCTCATTCTTTTGGCAATGGCACCGTTTCCCTCGACCCTCGCCTGTGTTCTATTGGACACAAAATGAAAGCATAGGTTTTAAGTAAATGTTTACTCCGTTCTGGCAATGCCACCAAGGGCATTTTCCAAAATAAAAAAATAGTATTTTGAATTTTTTTCAAACCCTCCAAGCAATGTGATAATGAGCACGAATCTGTCAAACGTTCTAACAGTGTGTTCCAGTGACTTTTATTTTTTTGTCCGTAGCTCCGCCGCCACGAAATCAATTTTCAAAACGACTACCTAAACGATGTGTTAAAATGTGGTATCACATGACATCTCATACCATTCAAAAACAAACCAACCGTCATCTTGAAACATCCAACTGTAATTCTTACGCAAAATATAGCGTCTATGCATCAGTTCACCCGGAACTTCAGCTTGTCAATTTGATCTATTAAAATAATCAATCGGAACATTTTCTTGTCAACATGTCCGCCTTATTAATTTTTGGAAGACCGTTATCAAATTCATTGCTACTGACCTTCAACACATAAAAAGCTCGAATTTAAGCAGAATCACTTTTTTGCAAACATTTCCGCCATGTCTACTCACAAATTCTATACAGGGTGTTCCTTAATGATATGCGAATAGTTAAGGGTATGCATCCACATGAAAAATTATTG